TGTGTGTGTGTGTAATATATATATTGTGTCAAGGTTGTGGTAATCTATGGTCTATGAAATTCCTGTACTCTCCTATTCATCTGATTCTGGTATTTTTGTCTCTTTAATATGCCACATGTATTACGTACTCCTTGGAAGCATATGTAACATACGTGCCATTGAGGCAAAAGAAGAAAGAATATTGGCTAAATTATCCTGTAAAAACAACAATGTATCATAAAGAGGAAAACAACAAACCTGATTGATGTAAGGCTCCATTTGATGCAATAGCTCATAGCCCTGGATATTGAACATCAGAAACGTAACATATACAATAGAACTCAAAAGATGAATAAGATTTTTTTTTAATACTACAAACCTGTTTAAAATAACGAAGATGAGCATCCATTGTACTGCCAACAGCCTCTAATAATTCAAACCTCTTCTTTGCCTCAACAGCCGAAAGAGAACCAACCTGAATTTTCAAAGAATAATCTACATAAGAACATCTTGCCATTTGTCAACCGCATCCTACATGACAATTTTCTCTTAAGAAAATATGAAAGATGGCTGGAAAAGGATTTACACACCAGACCAAAGCGAGCTTGCTCAAAAGTCGACCTTGCATTCTGAAGTTCCTGGAACGTCTCTCTACCAAATTAGAATTTAATCGACGATGTTTACCCATAAAATACTATCTAATCAACTGTGGTCACTTGAGAATTAGTCAACTTAAGAAGTGCAAATGTTCAAATACCTCCTCTATGGATGCAGCTATGTCCATCCTCGTACCTTTCCTCAATGATAGAAACTTTTCACGAGCCTGAAATGTGATGGGGATAAAAATCTTAAAAGAAAATTGAGGAACATATATACATCCTTCTTTTGTTCACATATAAATGCAAATCATACGTCCAGTGTATTTATGTTAGCCTATATAGTTTGTGTACATGTTTCAGCCATTAGTAACTAAAAAAAATATGAGGGAGTATTTAGTGTTATTCATAAAAGGAAAATGACCTATTGATGGAGATAGAGATGGACATGGACATGGAGATGGAGATGGAGATGGAGGTAGAATTTAGATATGATTTCAAAATAGAGTTCAGTTAAAACTATTTTTGTTTAAATTATATTAGATTACTTTTAATAATTCAATAAAGTTCTAGTTCATTAGATATTCATTTGATTTAGCTTTTTTTCTCTATATATATATTTTTTTGATAACCGTGGATATCCGAACCAGCTTGCTCGCACTTCGACTAATCCCACATGGCCCTGAAGTTTACTGTCGGGTATTCACCTCAGTGGCTCTGAGATGTTTTGCAATTGTACAATTCAAATGTCTTTTTTTTTTTTTTTATAACCGTGGAGGTTCGAGTCAACTTGCACGCACCTCAACTAATCACACGGGGCCTTGAAATTTACGGCCGGGTACTCACCTTATTGGCTCTGAGGGAACTCGAACTGGTGACCACTGGGGAGCAAACCCAAGACCTGACCAATTGAGCAACCCCTCAAGGTTAGCTTTTTTTCTCTATATAAAGAGGATTTATTCATTGTAACGGATACCCTTAAATATATGAAATAAATTGATTTCCTTTGCCCTAAATTCTTCTTCTGCTTGAACCCTTTTTTCTTTCTCATTACTTTTCTTCTTCAATTGCTCATTGTCAAATTGTTATGTTCCTGCATCAATTTGGTATCAATTGTATTACTTTGACCAAATTAGTGTTCATTGCAGCTACTACGTTCCATCACATTATGACCCGTCGGCCACCATATTCGCCCTTTACACGTTCCACCTTCATCCGCAAAAACCATACATACCATATCATCCGCCACAGAAAAAACACTGCCATAAATTATAACCCAAGGACATCAGCAACTTCAATAGGTACATCAGATCCTTTTTTTAGTTTACAACTAAAAGGGATTCAGATTGTTCTTTGCTCCTTCATTATATATATATTTTAAAAATAAATCTCTCCAATTGTTTCTTTAATTGCTGCTGTTTTTACCATTCTTCCTCTGCTGTCATCAAAGCCTCCATTACAGACCCACACCACATCTGGCCCAAAGCCACCAACCCATTAGTCCCTATACCCTAGCCCATGACCCACACTACACTCAATACACCCAGCTCAACCCATTAAACATCAAAACCTATGCATACATTAAAGGGCAAAATTCATAAATAAGAGTTTAACTATCACTCATTTCAAAATTAAGATAAATGGTATAAAATTTCAAAAATCAGATATTTATTAAAATTTATTTGAAATAATTAATTAAATATATTATTAAGGTTACAATTCTATATAATTTGGTCACAAATTCTCAAATTAATTGCTTACATTTTTTTCTTGATCACAATTCAAAAAAATTATACGTCACAAATTATTTTTCGATCACAAATCAAAAATTTTATAAGTCACAATTTATTTCTTGATTACAAATCAAAAAAATTTATAGGTCACAATTTATTCATCGATCACAAAATCAAAGTATTTATAAGTTAAAATTCATTTATCGATCACAGATTATAAATTTTATAAGGGGTACAAATTGTCAAATTAATTCGTCACAAGTTATTTCTCAGTCACAATCACATTTTTTAGGTCACATATTATATATTAATCACAAATTGACCAATTTATTGATTACAATCAACTAATTTATTGGTCACAAACACTATTGGTCCCACTCAACCTTCATCGCCACCGACACCGCCTGTACCACTGTTTGTGACCACCACATCACCACTGCCAACAATGTCAGATTCACTACCACACCAACACCAAAGTCCACTTGCCTCCGCCACCAATACCACGCCGCTACTGCCACCACCAACAATGCTCAACTTCAAAACTACCATTTTTAACTTCAAAACCACCACCCCACCACCAACAAATCACCATTTTCAACTAGAAAACCACCACCAATGTCAACGCCGCCGCCACCAACACCATCGTACAATCAATGTCAAGGCCAGCAAAAGCAGCACCACTACCTCCAGTACTAAAAATCACAACCACCACATCCACAAAAAAATCCCCAAATCCGTTGCCGCTGCCACCACTACATCACTACCACCGCCTTATCAAATCCACAACAAACTGCACTCCACAACTACGTTGTCTTCGCCACTACGCGCAGTGGTGTTGCAAGCATGCAGCGGCCGTCGCATGGCTTGCAGCGATACTGCCAGCAGCGAGGTCGAGTAGCGGTGTTGCTGCGTCGTGCTCGGCTGTCTTACAGTACAGCTGTAAAAGGAGCAGATCGGTGCAGCGGAACAGATCGGCGCAGCAGTTCTACTGGGCCGCGATGGGTAGAGAGAGAGAAGAATGCGTGATAAAGTAAGAGAGAGATGGTATTGAGAGATGTAGAGAGAGACAAGTGAGACGGGAGAGTAATTAAGGATTGTGATGAATTTTGGTAGTATTAATAATATTAAATATTTGAATTAATATCTGATTTTTGAAATTGGATCTTAAAAATTCTGGTTTGATGTAATTACCACTACATTAAAATTCTGGTTTGATGTAATTATCACTACATTAAAATTACCGATCTTAAAAACTACTTAAAATTGTATTTTCCTCGGAAAGCTTAGTCTTTAAATCAATTGAAAATTTAAATTTTTATTCAAAACATTGATGTTATGATAATTTTAACTGATATATATGGGAAGAGAGAAAGAGGGGAGGGTGGGGACAGTTAGAGTAGGGTGGAATATATAGAGTGAGAGAAACAGTAGTGTATTTGGAAATGGGGTGAGACTCATTTTGGAATTTTTAAGCATTTTAATGAAATAAATCTAGTCCATTAGATTCGTTTAAATTAATGGTTGAGATTCTTTGCCAAATATATTTGTCAAAAACTTTGGTAGGAGGAATGCTCCCCAATTATAGGGAGGGGGAAGAGAGAGATCATCTGACTAGAGCTAAGATGCTGCAGTTCAGTGTAGAATGACAACAGAACTTATATTTATGTGGTCCATTAAGTTTAGCTTTTAGTCCCGAATAAGATTCAGCTCTTTCCCTTTTGCTTTCTAAATCATAAAGGATCCTACCAAGCTCTTCATAAACTTCTTAAACATTACCCTTCAATACTCAATATCTTTACCTTCCATTCTTCTCAGTTTCCACTGTTTCCGGTTCTACTAAGTATCCACTGTATAATGTAAGAATGGACTGTATTGGGATATTAGTTCATTACAGTTAGGTTTGCCAAAACCAGATCTCGAAGGGATGTTCATTTAGATCACCAAATTTGGCAATCTAGTGACAGCAACTGTATCCCAAGTGTGAGACATGACCATAATCGCCAACGTGAAGAAATAATTCATGTGTAAACCAAATTTTCCATGAAGAAATATGTCATCAGAGCTAAAAATGATGTCGAAAAGTTTTCAGGAAGTTGTCTAGTCATCAATCATGTTATTTTCTACCAAACATTACTTTCATCATGGCAAACTAGTATGCATTTTCTCAGAGTTTTTCCCTTGTTTAATTTCAATCTCACCCAGTCTCAATTTTCAGCATATATACATTAATCTATGTATGAAAAATGAACCCTAAAAAAGGATGTGCGATAAATCAGGCAATTTGGTTCCCGATAGGCAATCTGAAGATGTAACTACTCGTGTTTGAAATACCAGCCAATTCTGAAAATAGGGACAACCTCATTAGGTAAATTATATTTGGACATGTCCACTAATATACTCTGTGCCTTTGTTTCAGTGTCTCTTTATCATACATCTTACTATCCAACCTAAAGATCCTTGAGTTTATGTCATTGGTTTTAATGGTACAATTTATAGCTCCCACAATGCCAAAATGAGACAACTGAAATTAAAAATGATGAAAAAACTTTGGAAGGAAATATCAGATTCAATGAGAGAAGAAAATTGAAAAAGAGAAATACAATTTAACAGCAAAAAAATAATGCTGGGTGATGTCCTAATATTTTCTTTGATTTAAATGATGTATGATCCAGACCTGGTCATAAGAAGCATTAGCTTTGTCAAAACGCTTGCGACCTTCCTGCATGTGACAAAGTTCTTATGATGTGCAATAAAAAATTAAGATACAAGAAGAGGGTAACAAAGATAAATTTGGTGAGATACAGATGCTCAAACGAGGATTTAGTAAATCTATATGCTAAATTGGCATAAACTAACATGGTATGTGTGCAAAGCTTAAATTATAACTTAAGTAGGTCAAACATTTTTTATTCACACATTTCTTATCTCACAACTGAGTATCCACTGAAATTTGGTGAGATACAAATGCTAGAAAATCTATATGCTAAATTGGCATAAACTAACATGGTATGTCTGGCAAAGTTTAAATTATAACTTAAGCTGGTCAAACATACTTTTTATCCACACATTTATTAGGATCCACAACTTACTATTCATTGATTATCCACACATTCCATAGGATCCACAACTTATAAGCACTAAAATCATGTAAAACAAAATCCAAACTGCTTTACACGATGTTTGTTTTATTCAGTTTATCTATGTTCAATCATTTTTCATTTTCTCTTTTGCCTTAAAATTTCCCAAATACCCGTTTAATGAAGAAAACACTTGGTAAAGCATGCATTCATGCTCATGCCTAATTTTTTGTGAGTTTCCTTTGAGCACTTTCGCAACATCAGACAATTAAAATAAACTAAGTAATTATTAAAACTTATTTTTCGCAGCAGGAATTGTTTCACACTCCTTTTATAAAATGAACACAGATATGATATTATCGCTAGTTCATAAAAAAAATTAGAACATGATCATTACCTTATCTATTAATAAATGTCTCTGTAAATAAGAATGACTTCTATTTAAAACTGTATTTTGGTCTAAACTGTACTTTTCTACTTTGAAGAAGATGCCAGTCATTTCATTCTGCTTCATTTGACACGTTTTTTATGACTTACTTACCTTCTCAAATTATACATTTAACCATGCATGTTGGATATCATTTACATTCAAAAATTTGCAAAATTTCATTTTGTTAAGAACTCAAGTGGTTACTTTGCTAACAAAAAATCAAAGAACGAGTACAAACATGGTCTTTTAGCTCGCAGTGAATGAACATTTATCCCACTCCTACATGAAAATAAAAGGCTGCTGAATTTCTTATCATCTTGGCTCAAGTCAAAATTTACCAAAAGAATTGATTTCTGTGGGTGTTTTCCATTTATAAAGAATATGCACCTCTGCTAGATGCAAATTAAAATTTGCTGTCAATGACAAGTTGAAAACCTTGTTCCTCTCAGATTTACATTTAATACAATGACAATGTTTACTCTTAAGAGTATGAACCAACCAAAGGATGAATATTTGCAACTCTTGCAATGCTACTTCGAGTGCCGTTTATCATTTAACTAGGCCTACTTTTTAGTTACATCCTGTATGATATAAAATTCCTTGATGAAAGCTTAAAATTAAATATAACATTCAATTGGAAGATTAGAAGTACAAAATATTCCGAACGTAGACTTTTGACAGTTGCAGTGAATTATAGTATGCACATTGCCATTTGAAATAATTATATAATAATGCTCATAGAAATAATTGGAAGTGCTATAATTTTCTATTCATAGATGTGCCATCGAGGAATATGGAACATTTTTGCGGATTATTGCAACTAAACTACTGCATTAAAATAGTATTGGGTTTGTGACCCGATTCATCTAGGGTTTGCGTGGTTTAGTATATTGGGCTTTGAAGTCGTCTAAATAGAGTCCATGGTGGAAAAAGGGATTCAAGGCGCTAGCGGACACTCAAACGACGAGACCGAATTTTCAGCAGAGGACCTACCGCCTGCCTACCTCTCGACTAGCGCTCGAGCGGTGAGCCACGCACTTGCCTGGTGCTCGAGCCCCGCTATCGTTCGAGTTTTCCTTGTTTTGTTTATTCCACGCATTTTTTAACCTAGTTTCCATCTTTAAGGCTATTATTTAGGTTTTACATGTACAACTATAAATAGTAGACTCTTCTTTACAAGTTAATTTACCGCTGAAAGTTAAAACTGTGCAAAAACACAATATTGTTGTAATTTCTCTCCATTATTAGTGAATAAAATCTCCAATTTCACTGCCAAATTAAATTTTTGTTTCTTATGTTCTTGTTGTTGTGATCAATTGAAGTATAGCGCGATATATCTGAGATTCGGTTCCTAACAAATGGTATTAGAGCTTTGGTTTGATTTGTTCGAGGTTTGTTCTTGATGGCAATCATGAAGTATGGCATTCTGCGTTTGGATCGCATCACTAGATTCTCATTGCGGCAGGTGAAGATGCAAGCAGTACTCGTTCAGATGGATTTGGATGATACATTGTTGGAATTTAATAAGATGCCCACAACTTGGACGAAGGAGGAGAAACAACATAAGGATTGATATGCACTTTTACAAATATTCATCTTTCAAATAATATTCTTCAGGACATTTTGAAAGAGAACTACAGCTGCATTATAGTTGAAATTGGAGCAATTGTGCATGACTAAAAGTCTAACCAGCAAATTGCACCGGAAGCAGAGGTTGTAATCTCATCATGTAACAGAAGGCGGAGAAAGGCTTATTGTTCATGGTGGTCACGAAAAGGGCAGGACGAAATCTAATTTCAGAAATCCAATTTGTTTTTATCGCAAGAAGAATTACACATCAAGAAGGATTGCAACAGGTTGCAAAATAAAATAAGTTGGCCATAAATAAGAAGAAAAGGTAATCAAATACTTCAGGTTAAGCCGATGCTGCAGAGTACAATTTGAGTTATGAGGATCTTTTGGCTATTTTTTAAGACGAATCTAAACCCGACGAGAATTGGATTCTGGATTTAGCTTGTGTTTTTCATGAGTCCGAATCGTGATTTGTTTTTAACATATGAAACAGTTTCGAAAGATTTCGTGATCATGGGAAACAATGTACCTTGTTGGGTAGTCTAAGGGATCAAATATAGTCAAAGCATGATCACACATCATTTTCCAACAGAAAAAGTTATGCTCCAGATTTGTAGTCTTATATTGAGACTCATTTTTGACATATCAAACGTTTGATTGGAAAATGATATCTGAAGCAAAGTTGTAGCCCTTTAAGTTATCTTTCCAAAGTATCTTGAATTACCTCAATCGGACATCAGGAAAAAGTTATGATAAATACATTGAAGGACGCGCAATGCAGTTTTTCCACCCAAAGATGAGCACTGCAGCGCCCACATTAGTGAAACCAACAGATTCGCGGTGCCGCAGCGCCGCTACGTGCCACCGAGGCTCCGCCTGTGCGAGAAATAGGTTTTTTATTTTTTTTGGACTCTTTTCTTGGCCCAATACAACTCCAGTCCTTTCAAGATTTCATAATGATATAAATACAACCCTAAAGACCACTTTTGAAGGGGAATTCAACACACAATTGAAGGAGGCAAAGTGCGCATAATTCAAGAAATCAAAGGGAGGCAAGAAAATCAAGGAAGAAGATTGAAGATCTATCCAAAAACTAGTTTTTTCTATTCTCTTTTTTATATTGTTTATTTTGAATTGTATAGATTTCATGTTTCTTATCATGAACTAAAATATTCTTCTACGGTTTGATTGTAACCAAAACTTTTTGAGAGTATGATTTGAATTTATTTTAGTTATTTTTATGAAATTTTCCATTCCGTTTATTTGTGTTATGATTTTAATGCTTTCAATTAATTGGCCACTAATTGAATGAATAGATGCAAGTCAAAATCCGGCACTCGAAAGAGGGGAATTTAGGCGTGATCATAAGATTAACACAACATAAATTTTATAGGTTTCGAGATAAAGTATAAGATATATGAAGTTTACTCCATAAAAGAATCATGAACTTGATAATTTCTAAATTTTAATTTGAAATAGAGATATTGGAATTAATTTCTAGGATTAATTTTTATCCGGCACTTGAGATAGGGGGTAGAATTATATTAGGGTTCTTGCTTATAAACATGGAAAATAGATTAGAGATAACTAAGTTTTTGAGATAGTTAGGTGAAATCATTCCCTAGACTTTTCCATCTTTATTAAATTCATATAATTTGTATTCATTGAATTCGTTACCAAAATTATCGTTAAATTAGTTAACAATATTGATTCATAACTCATTCGTCTAAATAAAATAAAGGCTACATAATTATAGTACTTAGTACAAAATTAAATTACAATTCATGTGGGTTCGACACTCTTAACTCTATTACTATATTACAAAATTTGACACCGTACACTTGCAGCATAAATCACGTTATAGAAAAATGCATGAAAATCACAGTCAAAATGTTTCAAATTTGAAGAAAAATCTCATCTCGTAAGCTACTCTTGATTTAAAAGGGTACAAGTTTATTGGTGTACGTGGAGTTTTGAAGGTTTGCAAAGTTGAACTTCCTGAGAACCATCAATCTGCCCCCATAATCCACGGGTAAGAACTACTATACTTGGGAATTTCAGTTTTAATTGTTTGTCAAGGGCAAAGAATTATGGGGGCAGATTGATGGTTTTGAGGAAGTTCCTGCTGAACCTGAGAAGCTTGCCAAATGGAAGGTGAATGATGCTCGAATTATGAGTTGGATTTTGGGGCCAGTTGAGCCTCACATTATCCTTAACCTGCATCCCATGTCGAACAACAAAGGAAATGTGGGAATACATAAAGAGATTATATAATCAGGAAAACAATGCGAGAAGATTTCAATTGGAACTAGACATAGCCAATTATGCTCAAGGAAGTCAGTCTATTCAGGATTATTACTCAGGTTTTTTCAATCTTTGGATTGAATACTCGGATATAGTTTACGCTAAGGTGCCTAATGCAGCTCTTTCATCCATTCAAGAAGTGCACGAAACTAGCAAACGAAATCAGTTTTTGATGAATCTCCGTTCTGAATGAGACCAATAGATCAGCCTTGATGAGCCGTGAGAAACCTCCATCTTTAGACCTTTGTTTGAGAGAACTCCTTCGTGAAGAACAGATATCACTCACACATGTTGCTTTGGAGCAACAAAAGATCTCTCCTAATTCTTCTAATGTAG